TGATTCATACATTTACATAGCCCTTTAGGTTAAGTCAAACTATATTAAATCTAAGTGTATGAGACACATTTTATTTGTAGCTGTTTAATAAAACAGAAAGGAAAAATGCTTTATTCTCTCATTTGGATTAGTGCATATATTTGTTTTGATGTTTAGGTAAAATCAATTATCCTTGGTGGGTTTGCTTATTTGAAAATATTAACCTAACCTGTGTGGAATTTCTCATGTCTATAGAGGTCCACACCAGCGAGTGTTAATATGACTCTTTTTTTGAGACTTGGCGTTGTAACTTTTAGTGTTAAATATTAAATCTTTCTTCTTAATTTAACACTTAATTACACCAAATAGGTGTTAGAATTAGAATATTAACACTCTCATGGTTTTTTTCCTAACTACAGAGGAGTTATTCTACTAAATATTTTACTTTTCTGAACATATAAAAATCCCTTTGGAAAAATAAATAAGTAAAGAAGCAATGTTTGACTTTCAGCAAATCCATCCATCCATTTTCTAGCACGCTTATCCCGAGTGGGGTCACGAGGGGTGCCCATCTCCAGCAGTCAATGGCGAGAGGCGGGGTACACCCTGGAAGGTCGCCAGTCCATTGCAGGGCAACAGAGACTAACCATTCACGCACGCACCCACACCTAAGGGGACTGTAGAGAAGCCATTAACCTAACAGTCATGTTTTTGGACTGTGGGAAGAAGCCGGAGTACCTGGGGAAAACCCATGGATGGTCAGGGAGAACATGCAAACTCCATGCAGAAAGACCCTGGGCTGAGAATCGAGGCAGAACCTTCTTGCTGCAAGGCAGCAGTGCTACCCGCTGCGCCACTGAGCAGCCTTTTTCAACTCAGTGGCGCCACTGAGTTGAAAAAGGCTGCTCAGTGGCGCAGTGTTTTACTTTTCTATGAAATATTTACCCTCCACTAATCTCTCACCTGGGGATGAATCTGCCACACGTCAATGTCACTGAATATTGCAGGGAAATCATTGATCAGAATTTTGGAGATCAAAATTTTTAAGATTGTGACTCACTTGTTAGGGCAGACACGGGTCAACAGCTGATCTCAAAGCATTTATACTTCATGGTAAAATTTTTTTTTTCTATGCACTTTTGCATCAGACTAATTCACATTGCAAAATCCATGAGGTGAATAAAACAATATTTGGCCAAATATTGTTTTTATTAAATGATTTGCTTAATCAAGAACCAATAACCTTTAGTTAAATGATTCTTTACCCTCTTTGAAATAGCTAGCAGCGAATAGACATCAGGATTCCACTAAATGACTTTTGGTCATACTTGCTAATGGAAATGTAATGAGCATCTGTGGAACACATGAACACTATTGTTATATCAGTGTTTAAACCCTTAGTGAATTAAAGCTTGTCCAAGCTTCAACAACAGTTCAAAACATGTTACTATAGCATAGCGTGCAGTCCATCCTGTTAGCTTTGTCTTTACTCATCAGTAAACACATGAAATAATCAAAATCATCAAAAGACATATTGTCTTTTCTGTCCCTAATTGTGCCAGACCTGCATACCTTCTTTTGTCCATGTCCATTGGAAGGTTTGAGTTTTATCCAGCAGCAGCTTAAGCCGGGTGTACACTGTGCGATTTTTTCAGTAGTTGCACGCAGCTACTACTCTCACTGTACGATGAAACCGCAGGGTTTAGTCGTATAGTGTGAGCTCACAGCTCACGATGTATGTGCAGCACGACGCTCTCGTGCGATCTAACTGCTCACACTGTTCGAGTAAAAACCATGTCGTCCTCAGCTCTGCAGTGAGATGGAGCTGCTCCAACTCGTCTATCTGGAAGACAAACAAAAAGGATGGGACTAGAGTGAAACGTGCTGCCTTGGCAATTTGTGCAATTTTGTGCTGAAAGCCCTAAAAACAAAAAGGCGACGGCATATTTGGAAAAAAGACATGGCTGAGCAAACGTGGCTAGTAAATTATGTCAATTTTACAGACAGAAATGCATTTCACTCATTGCACCCCTGCCATGCTGCTGTGTTTACAGAAGAAAACTTGTTTGCGCACTGAGCGATTTGCCCACGACGGTCTGAAGAAAATCAAACATGTTTGAATTTCTTCCGACCTCATGATTTCTGATCGGGAGGTGGTTGAGAGGGGCTGATCGCCCCTCGTAACCCCTTGTACACTACATGACTCACGACGCATGATCAGGCTGAAAGTCGGCCTGATTGAAAGATTCTCGCAGGACTGGAAAATCGCCCAGAAAATCGCAGTGTACGTCCGGCTTTAGCAGTCAGGCTAACAAGGCAGAGGTCTCTTTTTCTCAGGGTCACTCCAGGGGTCCTTCTCATGCAGTCTGGCTCTATAAGCTCTGAAACTCAAGAGAAATGTGTTCCAAAAGGTCTGTTTTGTAGCAGTTTGGTTCTGAAAGATCACCATGATGACTTATCCTTGATGATTCTGGAGATCTGGGGCTTTTGGGGCCTCCATTCTGTTAGAGATGCTGCCGAAGTCGATCCCAGCTTCATGGGAAAGAGAGAGGGAAAAGAGAATGCTCTGTGGTTTTTACTGTCCTCACACAGAGGGGAATGGTTGGTCACACCTGTGACTTGCCTGGACTGCTTTGGCTGAAAAGGCAGAGAGCTTTTATGCTCTTCTCTGGTCATCCTGTTAAGATGAAATATGGACACTGGTTCCCAATGTCCAAAAAGCATGATCATGGCATATGTTACAACACTCAGCAGTAACATAGGATGTGAAAGGGATTCATCTCACCAACAGCAGAAGCACCCTCTAGTGGCAGGCAAACTCTAAATAAAACTTAAGGGGTTGTTCTGCCAGAGTCAGATGAAGTGGGCATGAACTGGATCAGCAGAAAATGTGGCATTGTAACAATATTGACACTGACCAAAGGTTGATTGGCTTATGTTCAACTCAGTAGCAGATATTTCAATAAACTGAGTCAGACTTGTCTTTCTGCCCAAATATATAAGAGAGAACATTTGGAGCAGCCAGACATACAACAAACTACTTGAGAAAAGGTACCAGTGCCACATTTAATTGTACTTTTGTATATATTTTTTCAGCTACTACCCTTAACTGAACAGCATTTGAATTTGACTTCTGAAACATCTAATATATATTTTTTATAATCTTTACATTAACCTGTTCTATATTTTCAGATTATTCTGGAAAAATAGGCTTTATCCAGCAGAACATGGCTCAACTGACAATCCTTGCCGGTAGGTAATTTATTGTATATCACAATTTATTCCAAGTGTTATTAAAGTTTAAGAAAAATAAAGCTGGAGTTTTTTTTCCAGGATTGTCACTTCTGATGTGTCTCCAAACTGGTATGAAAGATTATTTTTGTTCTGTAACAAAGTCTCAGAATTCAAATTTTTATCTAAATTCTTTCTTATTTTTCTGATAGTTTCTTCCACCAAACTGGTGTGCTACTTCAACGGGACCCGAAACAGAGATAGAGCTGCTCAATTTTCCCCTGAAAACATAGATCCAAACCTCTGCACACACCTCATCTACGCTTTCTCAGTAATCAATTCCTCCAACCAACTAACAACTTCTGAATTGAACAATGAGGTTCTCTATAAATCCTTCAATGACCTGAAGAACAGGTGAGCTGATTATAAACTTTAGTGTTTTTTGTAACATCATTGATAAGGAAAAGTATGTACATGTTACATGTTTTTGACCATAATGTCAGATCATGGTTATACTAGGTCTGTTGTCATTCCGTTCAGATAGAATGCAATGTTTAATCAACAAATTTATATGATTTATACATCTTATTTATTAATACATCTCGACAACAGAAATCCCAAACTGAAAACTCTGTTAGCTGTTGGTGGGCGGGACTTTGGAACATCTCAGTGAGTCAAAAAAACTGCAGATGCTTGTAACATTTTTTGTTAAATAAATACATTACCCATTATTTGCCTAAATTTAATAGCTATGGACATATGTGAATATTTACAGATTCACCCTCATGGCCTCATCTTCAGCCAACCGTCAAGTCTTCATCCAGTCTGCCATCAAATTTCTGAGACAGCATGGCTTTGATGGACTGGATCTGGACTGGGAGTACCCTGGATCACGAGGAAGCCCTCCTGAGGACAAGAACAGGTTCACATTGCTCTGCCAGGTTAGAAATATTTACCCTCCACTAATCTCTCACCTGGGGATGAATCAGCCACACGTCAATGTCACTGAATATTGCAGGGAAATCATTGATCAGAATTTTGGAGATCAGAATTTTTTAGATTGTGACTCACCTGTCATGGGAGACACGGGTCAACAGCTGATCTCAAAGCATTTATACTTCATGGTAAATTTTTGAAAGCAGTAGAAACACGGAAAATTTCCTTTTTTTGTATTTAGGAATTACTCGCTGCCTTTGAAATGGAAGCAGCTCATACCAATAGGCCAAGATTGCTGCTCACAGCTGCAGTGGCGGCGGGAAAGGAGAATATCGATAAAGGCTATGAGATTGCTGCTGTATCAAAGTAAGTTAATGAGATGTAACGCAACACTCTCATATTAATCTGAGTTTAAAAGAACGAAACTCCATTAAACAAAGCAAATTGTTTAGCCAATTACTTTAAATATTCATTCTTAACAGATTAGAAAAATGTGATTTTTTAAAATGAAAAAAATTCATTGAATGCTATTCACTTTATTTAGCTTCTTATTTTCTTGCTATATTGTTGTATCTAACAGGTATCTAGATTTTATAAGTGTCATGACCTATGATTTCAATGGAGCTTGGGATAATTTCACTGGCCACAACAGCCCTCTGTACACCCAACATGGCCTTCTTGGTAACCAATCCTACAACAATGTTGTAAGTAAAAAAAACAGGCAAGTTACATGTTCGGTAACAGTGTTGTATCTTCAGTTTTGACATGTGATGCTTATTTTTGTCACAGGACTTTGCCATGAAGTATTGGAGAGACCAAGGAGCTCCTTTAGATAAGTTGCTGGTTGGTTTTCCCACTTATGGGCGCTCATTTCACTTATCAACAACAGCTACTGGTGTTGGAGCACCGGCCAGCGGGCCTGGCTCTGCTGGGCCCCACACCAAACAACCAGGATTTATGTCTTACTTGGAGGTAACAAGTCTTATTTTACTTAGGCAACCAAGTTATTTTTTAGGCTAAGAAATAATACTTACTGAAAACCAAAGAAACACAGTGTGTAGTACAGTATTGATTTATTACTACAGGTTTGCACTTTCCTTAATGGAACCACCACACAGTGGATTGATGAGCAAAAGGTACCCTATGCAGTCAAAGGCGATGATTGGGTGGGATTTGACAACAAAGAGAGCTTTCAAATCAAGGTAATGTATGAAATCCCATAAACAATAACACTTATAATACACATTTGGGAAAAATATATAATATTTGTCACTGTCCTTTGCAGTGTTTGAGATTGACTTTTGAATTAAAACATTTTGTGCATTTGACGTTGATGCTGATATTAAACACATATACATTTTTGTTATTAAAATTAGCCAGAAGATGGGTGCGTGGAGGGTCATGGAGGGGCTATCTTGTCCAACTACAGAGCCAGAGCCGCAAGTGGCTCCTTGGACTTTACACGATGGCTGTTAATAACATTTACTAAAAATGAAATGAAGTCCAGTAATAGTTTTAAATAGAAAATATAAGAAATTTATGTTTTGATAAGGCTTTTCCCTTGGAATTATTTCATGAAATTACTGTAAAAATACCTGGAATATTTGGAAAATTTACTTTATGTTTTTCATCTGGCTTAGAAACATTTTATTTCATCAAATGGATAATAGTGAAAAAAATAGACATACTCTTAAATTTTTTATTTTTTTTACCTTATATTGGAAATAAAATGAAGAAAATCCTCTTTAAAGATGTGGATATTTTTAAATAAACAGGTGTTTCAATTTTTTTCAAAAGTCATGTACAGTGGCTTTAAACAACTTAACTTTAGCTGAACTGAAGGGGGAAAATGACTCTTTGGGTTGTAAAGGTGATCTAGAATGACAATCAATTAAGTTTTTCAGAACTCATCAGCCAAACTTTGCACTTTTATCCTCTTATATTTTCTACACTGGTTAACAGCAGATCTTTAAAACTAAGTTTATAGTGCATGCATTCACCTCCAGGCTTCATTGCCATTTATCTGATATTTTTAATCTTTTTTTAATGTCATTTTAACCATGCAATGCATCTTGCATTCTTTAATCCTTTCAGCCTTCCTTAGCCTTTCAATCTATGGCAGCTAAACCACTTTTAAATCAATTTGCTGTTTATCTCATCTGTTTAATGTGATTCTTTATAACTATTTTTAGGCTGTGTAGAACTTAATTGTGATTTATATTGTACAGAATTCTGTATTATAAATACACTTTACGTACTACCGATAAATGTATTAGTGGTTTCTCATCTTTATGCAGATGAGGAACCTGCTTCCAATTCTCGCTTTCTTCTCTTGACCTAAAAAAACTCTGTGAGGACTGATTTTGTCCTGTGTGTTTCATTTTGATAGCAATTTATAAAAAAAATCTATAATCTGTATTTTTAATGGCAACATTTATATTTTCTAGGCACAATATGTCAAAGATAATAAATATGGGGGAGCATTTGTCTGGTCTCTGAATCTTGATGATTTTGCTGGATGGAGCTGTGGTCAGGGACCCTATCCCCTCGTTGGTTATCTCCAATCTCTTTTGAACTCAGGTAAACAATATTAGTCAAAGTTATTCCACATAAGGACATAAAATATCCTTTTTTTTACTTTAAAGATGCTTTATTCTCTGTTTCTAGATAACGAAACCATTGCCACAACAATAACACCAAATGTTACCGAAATCCCCCCTACAACAACTGTCGGCACGGCCTCAACCACAGCGACCACAGTTGTTCCTCCTGGGAGCGATTTCTGTGTTGGAAAGCCTGATGGGCTTTACACAAATGATGATGACAATCACACCTTCTATCAGTGTTCCAATGGAATAACGTATCTGAAGACATGCCCTTCTAATCTGGTTTTCAATGAGACATGCTTATGCTGTGACTATCCCAAAATATATCATAAATCAATGACGCTGTAAATTCAGCTTGTTTATGAAAACAATGGGACATTTCCCCTTAAAATAAAATACTTTGATATGAATGTGATTTGGCTCATATTTTGTGAATTTTAATGTTGGATTGAAGACCTGCTTACCTCTTGCTTTGGTTCACAATTCTTGTTGTCAGTGTTTAGCTTTATTTACAAATAGAAGCAGTTACAGCATATTTTTTTAGATCAGAAATGACCCAGAATGTATCAGCTGCATTGTCACTTTTATTAATGTATTTGGAAAATCTGTAGATATACTTAGCAATGTTTTTAAAGAACATGTACAGAATTTCTTGATCAACAGTAATGGAGGTTCTGGCAGTTTATAAAGAACCCTTAACAAGGCTAATGTGTTGATCTATTTTCAAAGATGGGTGGGAATTACAATAGAAACTTTCAACAAGTCACTGGAGCAATGTAGCATGCTCTCCTATCTCAAAAGCTGCACCATCACACATGAAATGACTTTAGACAATAACCTTTGTAGTCCTGATAGTGAACGCCACATTTTTTAATTGTGTGCCTCCTTTCCTTGAGATGAAGGTGGATTCCTGAATCCTGTGCAGTGCCATATACTTAGCTTCTGTTAATTCTTGATTAAAGATTACCAAAAAGACAACTTTTGAGAGGGGTCAAAGAAACCATTTACATCACACATTAGAAACCATCCCTAACCAAGGGGGAGGACTCTTTTCCTTTGCATAAAGCACATCACTAAAATTAATTCCAAAGAAAGTGG